AAATATTTTACTCACCTTACAATTTGTGTTTAAAATAGATTAAAGCAAAAAATATACAATAGTAAGAAATAACAAATCAGCAATTGGGAGATATTTAACATACAAACGTCAATAATTGTTAAAACAAGCAGATTTGAAGTTTTAATTAACCAAATAGACATGTACAGAACATGTTCTTTTCTACTGACTTTTTTTGGGGCGGGGGGTACCGGGGATCGAACTCAGGACCTTGCGCTTGCAAGGCAGATGGTGGGTGGAACAACTGAGATAAATCCCCGACCCTCTATTGACTATTGTATGAGATCAGAATCTGGATCTTTTAAAGCATTTCAAAAGTACAAAATATGTTAAGTGAACTAACAACTAAGTTGATTTTTGTTGATTGTATCTTAGTCATTTTCTAATATAATGAAGTTATTTCCACAGATTCTGCTGTTATAAAAAATATTTTAATGAGCATCTATGTACATGTCTCCATGTAAGCATAAGGAAATAGTTACTTAGTTTCAATAAATATAAGTTGAACTTAAAGTACATTTTAAATTTTAGTATTATGCAAAATTGTCCTTATGAAAGTACCAATTTGTATTCTCCATAATGGTATTATAATATACTACTTTTTTCCACACTTAAACAAAACTTGATATTATCAAGCTTCTAATTTTTGCCTTTCTGAAATATGAAAATTATTTCTTATTTTAATTTATATTTTCCAAATTACTAACAAGGTTGAATATCTTTTTCATTTTATCACCACTTGAATTTCTCTAAGATTTATGTAACTTTTCCTGTCTATTATTGTTTACAGATTTTTTCTTTTTTTGTGTGTTTGGAGCTCTTGTATTCTTATTATTTTTTGTTGCATATTGTAGGTATATTCTGATTTATCACCTATTTTTTTGAATGTTTTTTTCTAGTGCAAACTTAACTAAGTATGGATGTTGATAATAATTAAGGCAGTATAAAAGATATTCTGGCATTACAAGTTTTTCACCTATTTACCATCCAAAAAAAACATTTTGTTACTTATTAGTAGTTATTTGTTATAGCATGTACCATTTGTTTCATTCTTGGATCTCATTTTCCATATCAATAAAATAAGAATGACCGTAGATAGCTCTGAGTAACTGAAAAATAATTATAGTTTCACAAACCAATAACAAAGTCAACAAAAACAACATATTAGTGATAGTTTTTTTAATGTTGAAGTATGTACATTTATACAGCTTTTAGAAATTTCATTGATTCCTTAGAACTAAAAGTCTGGAAACCACTGAACTATTTCATTCCAATACCCACTTTCATTGCTACCATTTTTTGTTCCTGAACTTATTTGTCCTTTGACTTTCCACATCCTATGGGAAAGGAATTGTTATATAGGATGTCTTATGAATCAAAATGATAATGGGGCCTTTTGCACAATGGAGTTTCCATGAAAGCACAGGTGTTATGAAAACCATCATTAAATCAAAACCAACATGAGCAAGGAAAAGACTCCCACCAATATCGTCATTGAACATGTGTATTTGGGCAAGTCCATCACTATAGCTATCTGATCTACAAATACTGTGGCATCAACAAAAGAACCATAAAAGATTTTGAGAAAGAGACTGGTAAGATAGAGAACGGTTCCTTCAAGTATACCTTGGTCTTGAATAAACTGAAACATGAACATGAGCATGGTATCACCCTTGATATTTCCTACGGAAATCTGACACCAGCAAGTATTTTGTGACTCTCATTGATGTCCCAGAACACAGAGAGTTTATCAAAAACATGGTTACAGGAATATTTCAGACTGACTGTGCTATCCTGGTTTTTGCTGCTGTTATTGGTGAAGTCAAAGATGGTATCTCCAAAAATGAGCAGACTCCTAAGCATGTCTTTCAGACTTACACACTGGGTATGAAACAACTAATTGTCTGTGTTAACAAAATGAATTCCACTGAGCCACCCAAGAGCCAGAAGACATATGAAGAAATTGTTAAGGAAATTGCCACCTACCATAAGAAAACTGGCTACAACCTGGACACAGTGGCTTTTATGCCAACTTCCAGTTGGAATGGTGACATCATACTGGAGCCAATTGTTAATATGCCTTGGTTCAAGGGCTGAAAAGTCATTCATATAGATGGCAATGCCAGTAGAACCATACTGCTTGAAGCTTTGGATTGTATCTTACCACACATTTGCCCAACTGACAAGCCTTAGTAACTGCCCCTCCAGGATGTCTACAAATATGGTGTTATTCATACTGTTGCTATGGGCTGAGTGGAGACTAGGGTTCTCATGATGGTCACCTTTGTTCCAGTCAGTGTCACAGCTGAAGTAAAGACTGATAAAATTCACCATGAAACTTTGAGTGAAGCTCTTCTTGGAACAAGGTGGGCTTCAACATCAAGAATGTGTCTCTCAAAGATGTTCATTGTGGCAACATTTTTCTTGTCACCAACAATGACCCACCAATGAAAGTAGCTGGTTTTACTGATCAGGTGATTATCCTGAACCATCCAGGCCAAACCAGTGCTGGATATGCCCCTGTAATTTATTTTGACACAGCTCACAATCCTGCAAGTTTGCTGAGCTGAAAAAAAAAAAAAAACCCATCAGTCTGGTTACGAAAAGATTGGTTGTCAGCCTGTTAAAGAAAAGACTGATTGTCAGTCTAGTAAAAAGCTAGGAGATGGTCCTAACTTCTTGAAATCTGGAGACACTGGCATCTCAGCTATGGTTCTAGGCAAGCTTGAGCTCAAGCTCAAGTTCTTTGAGAGCTTCTCTGACTATCTTCATCTTAGTCATTTTGCTGTTTGCAATGTGAGACAGGTAGTAGCTGTGGTGTCATCAAAGCATTGGACAAGAAGGCTTCTGGAGCTGGCAAGATCACCAAGTCTGTTCAGAAAGCTCAGAAAGCTAAATGAATATAATCCTTTAACACCTGCCACCACAGTGTTAATCAGTGGCAGAAGACTGGTCTCAGAATTCTTGCTCCATGTTGGTCATTTAAGTTTAATAGTAAAAGACAAGTTAATGATAGCAATGGATCATAAAACCTTCAGAAGGAAAGGAAAATGTTTTGCAGACCATTTGTGTGTGTGTGTGTGTGTGTGTGTGTGGCAGTTTTATTAGTTTTTAAAGTCAACATTTTTTAATATAAATAATTTTACCAAGAATTTGTCACAGAATTTTAAGACCCATTAAAACAAAGTTAAATGAGGAAAAAAAACATGATAATGAGAACCTAGTGGTTATATAAACCAGTAGGAATAGGTTACCATAGTAACACAAATACTCAAAGTTTTCAGTGGTTTGAAAGAACCAAATTTATCATGTTTATCTCAGATCATCAAGGAAAACTAGTTACCTTGCAATAGTAATAAAAGTTCATATTGACAAATGCTTTAATTTAGGAGGCTCCTAAGTAAAACATATTTTTCTTACATTTCTTGCTAAAGCAAATTTAACAGAACAGTGTTATATTATTTCACAGGCAAGGAGGAATACCAAATATTTGTGAAAAAATATATTCTACATGTGAATGTGAGATCAGAAATAAAAGTGTTAACAAAAAGTTATGTCATTTAGAGTGAACATTTTTTAAGACAAAATGTCTGACAATAACTCTACTACTTCAATTTTCAAAATATATTATTAGTTAAACAAAACTGTATATGTTCTAAATTTTTTCACCAATATTTTATTTGATTTTCATAGAAATCTAACAAAGGAGGCCATAGATAAGAACTCATTGTAGAGTTGAACTGCTGGGATTTGAATTTTAGTCCCAACATTTTCAACAATTTATATGGACATATCATCTGCTTTTTCAATGGCTTTGTTTCCTTAAAGATTATAGATACTCATAATTCTATTTTGCAGAGTGTGTGTAAGTGTATAAGAATCTAAAAGATAAAGCATAGAAATGTCACAGAGCAACACTTAAGTTATTGTTAATATTATTACTGCTTTTTGTCTTTATCATATTTATTGAAACACCACCATCCTCATTTTATAAGTGATGACCTAAATGAAATCTGTAAACATTACTCTTTTGTCTAAGGCTCATATGTTAGATGGTAAAACTTTGACTTAAAATTAGATTTTTGAGGAGCCAGTTGTGATTGGTCATGCTTATAAATCCTAGATCTTAGGAGGCTGAGACATTAGAAGATCATGAGTGAGACCAGTGTAGGCTATTAATGAGACCCTGTCTAAAAAAGAAACAAAACACAAACAGATTTTTGATTTTGTTCTTTGATTTACTTTCCAAACTCATTTTATTTAGCTAATTAACCCAGTCATATGCGAATGTGATCTTTAAGGTTATTTTAGCAAAAGGTTTTCCCTGTATATTGATATATAGAATTCAGGCAAAAACAAATGATTAGTTGAAAGTGGGAGAGGATATTTGCAGAAATAGAAAGCAAACAAGGGAGAAGTACAGTGTAACTAGAGAACATAGCAAAGCAGCAAATTTAGCAGAGGAAGCAAGACAGTGATTTGCTGAAAAAACAAGGGTGATAATGTCCAATCTGGTGTCATTGTGGAGCTCATATTACACTACTTGTACAAATTAGTTACAGACAATTGGAGCAGGTCTGTAAGAATACATATTTTTAAAAAGAAATTATAGACAATCCATGAAATCCTGAATTTACCATTTTTTCTGAAAAGAGAAAGCAAAACAGTAGCTGTGAAATTTTGTCATTTTATGATGAAAAAACACTGAACTGTGAGTTTGGGAGATTGCTGATTTAAATGAGTCAATATGGTAAATTTTAATTATTTTTGACCTTTGTATAGGTCCATCTCCCCCTCATTTTTGTCCTGAAACAAGATGTTTCTGGGCCAGGGATTTAGCTCAGTAGTTCTGCCACCTGTTTTGCAAGCGCAAGGTCCCAAGTTCTATCCCCAGGTACCAAAAAAAAAAAAAAGTTTCTGTCATATGATTTGATATAGTCCACTGTTTCACAATCTAGTCTTGTTGACATCTCGTGTTTCAGTGTCCAGCAGCACAAAATGTACTATTTGTGTTGGAAATGTGAAAGGACCTTGGCTTAAAATGCTTCTCTGATTTCAGAGTTCTGGTGAGTAAATGTGATTATCTTTCTCTGACCTTCACAGTGACTTATCCTAAGCTTACTTTCTTTTTTATTTCATTAGAGGGGGGCCATGGGGGGAGAGCTGTTGAATGAAAGTTTACTGTTTTGAGAAAATTGTATATAATCCAATGTAAAATTGAGAAGAATTACGACTTTTTTCAGTAAGAGCAACTTCTAAATTTGACCAAGTTTTATAATATAATAATGTTGTTACCTAGTGCTTTAGAACATTAAAAATGGGGAAAAAAAGAATATTAAAAACTGAAAAAAATTAAAATTTACTTGGCGATAAATGTAAATGATACAACAGCATTCATACATGTAACATTAAAGTATTTCTATTAAAAATTCTAATGATACTTATTTTAAATTACTTACTATAAAGATATTTACCTATGAGGCCTTCAGGCTAATAATTATAAATGACAAGATAAAAAATTTGGTCTATCTGGATCAAAATTAATTCATTTGTATGGTAAAAATCATTAGTATCGGGCAAAAATGTGAGGCAACTTCTAATAGAAATAATTTTATAATTCATATTTATATAGGTAGACAGGAAGCTATATAGATAAAATTTCTTGAAGATTACTATTTTTTGCTTAACACTTTAATAGAGCTCCTTCAATTTATGTAAGTCTAGCTTTAATATGACTTAGAGTTTAAGCTAAATGACTCAACTTGTGATTAACAATGTGTTGAGAGAAATCCTTAATTTACACTAGAGTTCTTACCCTATAATGTTATTTATAGTGTGGACATTAAAGAAAATAATGAAAACCTCTTATATAATATTGATTGGAAAAAGTACTTTTGACAACATTTTAATTTGAATAATTTTGAGTTAGAATTTTCTTATTAACTTTGGATATTATTTTTAAATTTGTTTTATGTATTATTTTAATTTTACATATTTATGAGGTATGATATAATAATTTAGTATATATACACTGTATAATGATCAAATCAGAGTAGTTAGCTTTTCAATCTCTATAAACTTAAAAATATTTTATTAATATGGGATAATTGTCCATCTTTATGGAGTGATTATAGTTTATAATAACCCAGAAAGTTCCAAACATAATATCATGACAAACAGATGGCGATATTAAATACCCTGTTTTGATCAATAAAAATTATATACATATATCGAGATATCACACTGTCTGCCATAAATATTGAATATGTTTTACTGATACTTCAAATATAAATAATGCTCAAGGAGTATTCTTTTAATATTAGGATGTTATCACATTCCTATATCAGAGTGTGTGTGTGTGTGTGTGTGTGTGTGTGTGTGTGTATGTGTTCATATTCAGGGTGCTGGGGATCACATTCAGAGCCACACAAGCTAAACACATGTTCTACCACTGAGCCTTAATTTTATTTTATATTTATTAAGAAATTCTAAGATTACTTCATTTGGCACATTATAGAAACCATAAAGCTTTAGAATAGAGAGAAATTTTCTCTTTGTAGAGCAATGCAGGAAATAAAGATATGGATAACAGAACTTTGTAATAACTGTGATACTTTCTTTAAGGAGAAGTCATTCAAGATAGCTGTTTCAGGAAACACACACAAAAACTATCTGTTTTATTGATTTATTTAATTTTGGGGAGGGTATCAGGGATTGAACTCAGGATCTTGTGCTTGTGTGGCAGGCAGTGGCACCACTGAGCTAAATCCCTGGCCCTATTTGTTTTATTTTTGATGCCAAAGACCTGAAGGATTTTTTTTTTTTGCATATTTTACTTTACAAGATATAAAGATATTTTAGTTGTTTTAAGGTCTCTCTTGTGGGACCTATAATTTCAGATTTCTTGTTCAAGGTGTAAGTAGGAATAAATGAGAAAAATATATGACAATACCTGACCCTTAGTAGAATCACATTAAATGTTTATATATCTACACCTATTCTGAGGTGCAAATGAAACTCTCCAGATAATATCTGTAAGTTATTTCATAATATTTATTTATTTATTTATTTTACTGTTGCTTTATTTATTTGTTTTTTGGGTTTTTTTGGTACCAGGGATCGAACTTGGGACCCTGTGCTTGCGAGGCAGGCGCTGGAACCACTGAGCTAAACCCCTGGCCCTCATAATATTTATTTTAATAATGTCCTAAGTACACTGTGAAAAACAATGATTTATTAAAAGAACAGTTCAGAGTTAACTGATTAGGCAATAATGAAAGTAGACTTTGAAACCAAGATGAGTCTGCCATAAACCCTACAGAGAAATATAATGACAGAAGGGAGAGAGAGGACAGGGAGGGAGGAAGGACGGACTGAGGGAGGAAAGGGGGACAGGAAGGAAGGGAGGGAGACAGTTTGTTTTATTCTTAAGGTCATGTTCTGAACAATTATATTTCAGCATTTGGAACCTTGAGTCAAATATGAAGTTCAACTGATTTTCATCACTCCTCTCCTTCTCTGATCCTAATTCTCAACCATATCCAGATAGTCTATTGAATTCCTTGCAAAATTTCCTTTTCAGTTTGTTTTTGAAACTTTTCTCTGATAATGAAATAACCTCTTTATCCCCTCCTTCGTACTCCCTGTTTAAGACACACAATAGCTTTATATAACTTTGAGAAAAGAGTCTGCTTTATTCTCCCTGACTTTGAGCATCCCCAATGTACCTTTCCTGCCTTAATGTCTTTGGCTCCACTACACCTAGCTTATAGTTATAAAATACTACATTGACTTCTTGTCATGCTCCTTGCTTCATTTTCACATTTTGATAATTCTCTTTTCTACTAAAATTTTTTATCTTACCTGCTTTTGTTAAAATCAACCTTATTCTTCAATGTAATCTTAACTATTCCCATATTTTAAAAGTGATCTTTCATCTCAGTAAAGTCCTGAAATGCTTTGTTTACATTGATCATATCCTTCATTTTATTATTGTTTGTTTCTATGTGTGAATGTGTCCCTTCTCAGACATAACATAATCTCTAGAACAGCAGTAAAAGAATATAACATAAAATATGTATGCAATTTAACATTTTTAACAAGCACTTTTAAAGAGACCAAAAAATAAATTGAGGAAATTGTTAATAATAAATTTTATTTAGCCTAGTATCTCACTAAATGTTATCATTTACAAATGTAAACAAAATTATTATTATCAATAATTTTACATTCTAATTTTACACAAATTCTGAAATTTTGGGCATATATTTTACATTTGCAGAACATTTCTTTCAGACTAGCAATATTTCATCTGCTCAATAACCAATTCTTCTAGTGGCTACCAGATGGGACATCATAACTTTATAATTTCAGGAGAATGGTTGGTGTAATATAGAGAACATTATTTGTGGTCAGACCTATTAACAATTTCTACTCTTGCCACCTATTACATAACCCCTGACAATTTGCTCAGTTTCTCTGGCCCTTAGTTTTTCATAGATAGAGATTTTGCAAGATTAAAATTGAGTTTATCACAATTTCTGGCATCAATTTCATTAATTTTTTAAAATGAGAACATGATCTGTGTTATGCCAATGTCCTGCACAATACACTATACTTAGTTTATATGCTTATAGCCATTTACTCAGCACATAAGACATATCAATCATTTGCTAAGTTCTAGGAATATCAGATATGAAGTCCATCTATGAGAAGCTTGATTCAGAATGGTGAACATGTAAATAATTATTTACAGCATATTTACAGTATAAATCAAATATGGCTTAATAATGTCATATAAACTAATAAGCTGTCAAAGTAGAAGAGTTATTAACTATGCCTGAGAATATAAGGGTAAGCTTCATAAAGATATTACTTCAAGGATTGTGGACAAGGATCATAGGAAGAAGAAAATCAATTGGAATACCATGAATCCATGAAATTGCATGAAAAAATGAGAAATTTTTTGTTTTGCAATGGGTAGTGTTCATGTGGTTAGCTGGCAGAAGGACCAAAGAAGAGCATTGTGGTTAGTAGAGGGAAAATTAGGGTCCATAGCACTCTTGATATCCTTCCCTAGAGCTGATACTTCCATATTTCTACTCATCTTTATAAATTATATCCCCAGTAAATCTCTGTACTTTTATTATTTATTTTTTCCTTATTCCTCAGCTCTAAACTATCCATAAACATAGAGTCTCTCTACCTTTGAAACAAATCCTGTCTATGACCTAGTCCAAGCCAGTCACCTCTTTCCTGGATCACTAAAAAAAGTCTTTGAACAGATTTACTTCTCTACTGTTATGTTCTTGTAATTGTACTTTTTTCCAGAAGCAAAAGTGATTTTCTTTTAAAGCATGGCATAGTTTTTCAGTTCCCCTTCTCATAGCATTAGTGGCTCTCTCTTTCTTCATATTCTACAAGGTCCTATATAGTCTGACCTACCTGTTTGGCCTCAGCCCATTTTACCTTCCTATTTATCACACATGTTTTAGTCCTGGTGACTTTTCAAAATTTCTTCCTGAGTTTTTCTAGCCTTTTTCAACTGTGGGCTTTTACTTTTAACTCACTCTTCTATCTGATAGCTTTTCTCTGATCTTCAAATGTCTGGCTACTTTTAATCCTTCAAATCACACTTAGGTCACTTCTTCAGTGATACTCTTTCTGACTATCCAAGCTAAAATACTGTGATAGTGAAGTCACTTTCTATTTTATTATTCTGTTAATTCATAATAGTTCCTATTTCTATCTGAAATTATCTTCACTGTTATTACTGAGTCAGTTTGGGACCACTATTGGAACAAAGAGCAAGTGCACTCCTAGGGCCTTAACTCACGGCCTGTTATTCATTAGAAGTATGATGTGCATTTCTTCCTACCCTCCAGTTCTTCAAATTACGTTATCTTAAGGACTGACTGACAACAGGACCAGGTTCAATATCCTGCAAGAGTCAGGATATTGATGCCATAACATCTTCCAGAATAAACTAAATAAACATTGAACCATATCTTTCATAAGGAAGAAACTCCTTGTGAAAATATTACACTCAAGACCAGTGGAATATTACCAGACCCTCCCCAACCCCAATAAGTCAATAAAAAGCTTGCCTTTTTTTTGTTAATAGGCCAGCATTACTTTTTGACTCTGCCGGGACCATGTGAAACAAGCTCAGGGTGAGACTTATTGGGCCTGGGGCTTCTGAACAGGATCCCAATAGTGACTACCAGCTGCCTAGATCTTTTTTCTAGAGTACAACTCTCTTCCACATCCCACTTGTTTCTTCAGGCCTGCAGACAATGTTCCCTTTCCTTCTTCTACTTTCTAGTACTTTTTCTTCTCTCTCTCCCTTACATCCTTCCCTTTCAAAGTTGGCAGAGCATAAAGTAGGTATTCCTACTTATCACAACTTGTATTCTTGGAAGCCTGAGGATTCCTTGATCTACAGAGAATCAAGTGGCAGTTGATGCCATCCTCAGGACCTAGTGTAATTTTTAGACTCTTACTGCCTACAAACCCACTGGTTCTCTTTTCATTGAGATCTTTTCCTTTCCCTCATTTCTGCTCTGTATTTTTTATTCCCTGTTTGACTGGGGGCACCAGAAAGCCATTGTGAAATGAGATCTTCGTAGTCACACCCACTATAGTCAGGGTTCAGCCAGACATTTGCAGGTCAGAGATCAATCTGATTTGGAGGCTGTCAGTAGGCATTTGAATCCCCTAAATACTAAACCATGTGAAAGAGGTTCTCAAGTCTCCTGCCACATGAAAGGGATTTGAGTTCCCTAATTGATTGTGGTTTATTCTTTTTGTCTTTCCTCCTTTCTCCTCTCCTACTCTAGCTCCCATTTGTTTCTCTCCACCTGTAGTCCTTGTTTTCACCTTTCAAAATATCTTGTGTCTTGTTTTAGTGTTCATAACAGGTAGAAATACACCTTAAGCTCTTACTGGAAAGAGTTCTGCTAACTGGACTAACAGAAATGTAAAATTTCTGTTTGGGTTTATATTTCCCATTGTCCCCTCTTCCTTGCTGTGTTCTATTTGTGTTGCTACCTGTATGGGCAAAAGGTTGCTTTACATGATTTTCTCTATTGTTGGTCCACATTCTGAGACTTGTGCTTTCTGTATCGACTCCTGACAATAGAGCATAACTCCCCCTACAGTAGATGCTTTAATTGAATGAAAGCTCTTGTTTAGCACTGTGGCATTCAATTCTTTGGTTGATTAGCATGCCTAATTTACAGTATTTCTCATGAGCAGTTTCAAAATAATTCTTAAAGTGAAATTATACAGTAATGTATAAAGACTTTTAGCTGTATTTTTTTCCTTCTACTGATTTACTAAAATACAAAACTGAAAAAAAAAAAGCAAACAAAAAATATGGTTATATAAGTATTCCAGGGTTAACACTCAACCTCATTTGGGAGTAAGGAAAAAAAAGCAAAAGAGGCCTTATGAAAACCAGTATGTTTCTCTGTAAAACTGGATCGAGGCTTACATAAAACTTGCAAATAAAAATCTGGTAGACTGAGCCAAGAGAACTGCAAGTTTGAGCCCAGCCTGGGAAATTTGGCAAGAACCTGCCTCAAAAATCAATCAATCAATCAATCAATCAATCAATCAATCAAAATGGGGTGAGGATGTAGCTCTGTGAAGGCCTCGGTACCATCAAAAACAAATTTTTTTTAAAGTCTGGTGCTATGAAGGTTATTTGATCTTATATGTTTCAGTGTGCTACTTTTGCATACCTGTTACATGTCTCTACCAGAAAAATTCCCCCAAGAAGTTCTATTTAAATTGGCTTATAGATGAGTGACCACTGAAGTGATGAGTCCAAATGTCCTTTTGCTTGCATGATTTAGGTAAATCTTTAACAAATTAATAAATGTGTTGGTAAGGTAAAAGTAAAGCTTTCTTTAATGTTGCTATTATATGTTTTGTCTAAGTTGATAGCCAGTCAGGATAGTAGTTATCTTTGTTAAAAATTTAAGTAACGAGTCAGGCATAATGATGCATACCTGGAATCCTAGCAGGAAGCTGAAGCATGACACATTCAAGTACAGCCTGGACAACTTAGTAACTTAGCAAGACCCTGTCTCAAAATAAAAAATAAAAAAGGGCTGGGGATTTAGTTCAGTGTGAAGGCCCTGGGTTCAGTAACAATTACCATCAAAAAAACAAAACAAAAAACAAACAAAACAAGGTAAGGTACAGCATCCATTCCTTTCTCTGTTTCAAGTACAGCAACTTTTAGTGTTTTATTTGGCAAGAAAATAGCTTAAAGTGGTAAATATAATTCTCTGATAGTTTGGCTTTAATGAGTAATATAAAAACTATTAAAAGTGTTAATTAAATAAATATAATTGGGATAAATGGTTAAAGTATTGTAGCACAAATAAAATAACTGACTTGTTTGTAAGTAATTCTAATTACAATTCTACATACAAAAATTATTAAAATTAAGTTGTTTGTGGGCCAGGGATTTAGGTCAGTGGTTTCGCCGCCTGCTGCGCAAGCGCAAGGACCTGAGTTCGATCCCCGGTACCCCCCCCCAAAAAAATTAAGTTGTTTGATTAAGCATATTTTGTATTAAGAAAAAGGAGTGATTTGTATAAAATCAGAAATTTTTTTTTTTTGGTACCAGGGATTGAACTCAGGACCTTGCGCTTGTGGGTTAAAATCAGAAATTTTGTAGAGATTGTTCCAAATTGCAAATTTAAAAATGTTAAAGCAAAAACAAACTAACAAATAAAAACTGATACAGGAAATATAGTTTTAGAGATTATATACTCTAATAAGGAAGTTGAAAGAAAGGAAAATGCTTTTGGACAGAAAAGAATTTTGTATGGGAAACTAAGATTTTTGTTCTAAAATAAAAATGACTAAATTATTCCAAGATGAACCACAGGACAAGATGTACTACAAGAGTCAGTCATCATAACATCTCCAAGAATATGACTACTGATCTAAGTTTTTTCACAAGGAAGTAATTCCTTGTGAAAATATCACACTTATGATCAGTGGAAAATTACCAGACTTTATACAACCCTAGAAATCCAATAAAAATCTCGGCCTTTGTTTGTTAACAGGCCATCCTGAATTTTGTATCAGTCCTGCCCCTTTCCCCTTTGAAGTAACTCTGTAATGCCAAATAAAGCTCTGCCTGCATGCTCATACTCCTTGGCATATATTCATTTCTATTATCAGCAGGTCAGAAGGTTCTGTGTCTGGCATCATTACTGTTACTAATATATTTACTTGAATGCTTTCTTTTCTTTCCACTAGAATGTCAGCTCTCAGAACAGAAAATTGTTATCATCACATATCCTGAACAACATTCTCAGTGCTTACCAGAAAGAGGATACTTCACTCAATACCTGTTGAATGAATGGATAAAGTTTTCTCCGCACCCATACTATTAATGTCTTTTGTAGAATTTTACTAAATGAAAGAGAAAAAGGGACATGAATTATTCTATTTAATGTTATATGAGATGTAAAGATAGTTAGCTTATGGGAGAAAAACATCACCACCTAACAAATCCTACTGCTCTAGCCCAAATACTAGTGCTCTAGCCATATATTAAACACATGATTTAATGCGGGGGGAAGGGGGAGCCAATTTCTCCAGTTCATAGATATTTAAATTTCAAGTAATTTCTTAAATATTAATGCATAAATTTAAATGAGACTTTGTATTACAGGGAAAAATAACTGAATTGAGTATTTTGTCTCCTTTTCTAAATGGAACTATCTAAATATTTCCAGATAGAACAATATTTTGAGGATGAATTCAGTTGGCACTAATTGTAACTTCCCTTGTATTAATGAAGGACTCAGAAATACAATCTAATACTAATTAAATAATTCACATATAAGGACTTTTTACATATAACTAATGCCAGATGTTTGAAAGGATTAGCATTTCTTCAAGAAGAAAAATCACTAAGTTCTAAAAGACCATTTAAATTCTTTTTCTGGGTGAATTGTCTTCATCTGCTGAGCGAGTATTATGATTGATGATCATTTTCAGATGATAAATAAATAGTTGGTATTTTACATTTGTACTGATATTAAATTTTACTTTGTAAAATGTGCTCTTTTACAGGTATATAAACAATTGCTAGAAGGAACCCTGACAACTTCACAGCAAGATGAAGTTCTTTCTATTGTTCTCAGCCCTTGGGCTCTGCTGGGCTCAGTATGCCCCGCATACTCAACAGGGACGCACATCTATTGTCCACCTGTTTGAGTGGCGCTGGGCCGACATTGCTGAGGAATGTGAACGATACTTAGGTCCAAAGGGATTTGGAGGTGTTCAGGTATTAATTGCAGCATACATTTCAGCATTTACTGTGCTTGTAGAAAATGGCATTTTAATCAATTTCAATGATCTAGAACAACATTTTGATTCACATATAAGTAGTCTAAAAACAATTTTCTGAGGAAGAAAAAATTAAAAATTGTTGACAACTTTTTAGTTTGTCTCAGGACATGAGCAGGACATCTCCAGTATGCTGTTAGTATTTTCAAGTGGTTATAATACAATGTGGTTGTATATAGAAAGAATCAGAAATAATTTAGAAAGTTGATTAGTTTTCTAGAGTATCTAATAATCAGTAAGCCATAATTGGAACTTTATTAAGATTGTTTTATTTACAGGTCTCTCCACCCAATGAAAATGTTGTAATTACCAACCCCTATAGACCCTGGTGGGAAAGATATCAACCAGTTAGCTATAAATTATGCTCAAGATCTGGAAATGAAGATGAATTCAGAAACATGGTGACTAGGTGTAACAATGTTGGTGTAAGTGAATTCAAATTTTCTTTAAAATTTTTATAAAGGAAGATAATTTCTTCTGTCCCTTGTACATTTTTGATGGGAAAGCTTTTCATGTTTTAATTTTTTAAACTTTACTTCATAGTTTAGGTTAACTGAAAATCAATAGTTGTCTTCTCAACAGTTGTAAATCTTTGTACATATACCATTTATCTACTCAAGACAAGACATCTTAAAGTTTAAGAAGAGTTTATTTATAAAACAAGATTTTTTATGGTTATAACTGGTATACACATCTCTTAACACTTTTCTGGTTGGGATTGAAAATTACAGTGACAGCGGTTTCTGTCATTTTTATGTGATTTATGTATCCACCTATAATTTCTTGTTTTACTTTTTTATTGGTTTCTGTTAGTAAGTAGATTTTACATCTTCTAAATAGAGTAGACACTAACTCCTTTTTTCTTGTGACTCAGTGAAATTTCAATAAAATTGACCTGTCTTAACTTATTCTGACCTTCTTAACAATGTTTCCTTCCATTCTATTATAGTTAGGGTAGTTTCTGGTTCTCTCAACATATCATTTATATAAACATTTGACCAAGTAATTAGAAATAATGTAAGTATTCATTTCACGTAAGTTTTCTTTCACAGTTGACTTGATTTTGTAGGAAAATAAAATTATAAAATCACAAATAAATATTTTGGACTTTTATTAATATGCAATAATGCTTTAGATTTCTGTCTAAAGTCAAACTGAAATAGACACTGCTTTTTAGGTCCGAATTTATGTGGATGCTATAATCAATCACATGTGTGGTGTTGGCAATGCTGCAGGAACAAGCAGTACTTGTGGAAGTTACTACAATCCTCATAATAGGGATTTTCCAGCAGTTCCATACTCTGGTTGGGATTTTAATGATGGTAAATGTAAAACTGAAAGTGGAGGCATTGAAAACTATGTGGATCCTTTTCAGGTAATTTTTTTAAAAAATTAAAATCTGAACCAAGAACTCTCCATGCCTTTAGTTACTTACCTGTACTTTATTAAATGCCATATTAGATATTAGTTTAGATTCCTTGGGAAGGCAGTTTACCATCATTAGCTGCTTAAAAATAAGAAAAATAAATATTCAAAAACTTTCCTCTAATCATTGTGGTGAAGATGTATTTAAGTGGTAGAGCACTAGTCTGTGGGTTTTATTCCTAGCACTCAAAAAAAAGAGAGAGAAGAAAAACGAAAGAAAAGAAAGTGTAAGGGCTGGGGATTTAGCTCAGTAGTTCTGCCACCTGCCTCGCAAGCACAAGGTCCCGAGTTCGATCCCTGGTACCAAAAAAATAAAAAAAAGAAAGTGCAAGAAAAAAATAAGAAAAAATTTCCTCATAAATTAAAAAGCTCCTGTCCTTTATTTCCTATACATCCATTATCTATTTTTACACTAAAAATATTTCAAAAGTATGTCCATTGTAAAATGTTAATATTTCTAATGCCTAATGCCCCTAATCCCTAATCCCTAATGCCCCATATAAAGAAGACATTGTGTGAATATCTTTTGAGGCATAAGTAAATGAATAAATAATTAAATGGATTTTTAGAAGAGAGGTGATGAATCAATCATAAAATTTTTACCTCAACAGGTCAGAGATTGTCGTCTCTCTGGTCTTCTTGATCTTGCACTTGAGAAGGATTATGTGCGTTCCAAGATTGCTGAGTACCTGAACCATCTCATTGCCATTGGTGTAGCAGGGTTCAGAATTGATGCTTCTAAACATATGTGGCCTGGAGACATCAAGGCAGTTTTGGATAAATTGCATAATCTGAGTACAAATTGGTTCCCTGAAGGAAGTCGACCTTTCATTTACCAGGAGGTACATCAGTATATCTATATGCACATAATAAATAGCATTTTGTTCATCAGGAAATAAATGGCACATTTATTTAAATTTATGTAAATGTGCTATTTTTGTAATTTAATGGGTGAGTGATATAGATCAAGCAGTATTTTCTTAACTTGCTTTTATTCAAAGATAACAATTATAGCACACCTAATTCTTTACTACAGTAGGTTCTGTGGAAGTTTGGAAAATTTAGGCTGCAAACTTCACTGTGCTCTTTACTACCTCCTCAGAGGCTATGTGGAAGCCTGAAAATTGTATAGTTTTTGTTGTCTCAAGCTAATCTATCTGAGTTTGGATCTTGGCTATACCATTATTAACTATTTGGGTCCATCACTCTTACTTGTGTAAGTTTCTGGGAAAGTTGATTAACCTTGGTGTGCAGTACTTTCTTTGTGTAAAGATATGGGCTAACAACAATGTTTATATTTTTCTTTTAGGTGAATAACTTGATAATTATGAAGCACTAGAAATGTTAATCAGATAGTAAATGCTATGTTAGTGTAAGCTATCATTGTTATCATTTGTACGAAACAATAAATATGGTTAACCTTCTCATAGGATGAAAAGACACCTCATCATTAAGTTTATTTCAATATCATAGCATATACTTTATCAAAAATAATAACAATTTTGATAATAAGGAAAATTATATGGAGTATTTCAAATAGCATAACTCTTTTAAAGCTATTTTTAATAAAATACTAATCATACATTAAAAAGTTCTTATTTTTTAAAAAAAGTTCTTATTTAAAATTTTCTTTTCTTCTGTGTTTCTACCAGGTAATTGATCTTGGTGGTGAAGCAATTAAAAGTAGTGAATATGTTGGAAATGGCCGTGTGACAGAATTCAAGTACGGTGCAAAGCTGGGTACAGTTATTCGCAAATGGAATGGAGAGAAGATGTCTTATTTAAAGTAAGAAAAATATAATTTGTTGTTTGAATTTTGGTACAGATCTATTAATCATACAACCCAAGTATGATTAATATTCTTAGAGTCTTCTTTTTTAAATAACTATCAAGTTAATTACTAAATGTTACTAGTTAACCAATCCCAATTAACCATATATTTTATTTAGATTTTTTCAATCATAAGAAAATATTATAGAAACCCAAAATACCACCTAGAGACTTTAGCCTGTGTATTGTATGAGTCTTCTAGATTTGATTATCAATTATTGGCCTATAATCTATTAAATCCAGTTTATTAAAAAATGACCCTACCATTAATGAAATACCCACAATGTGGCAATTTTCTGGAATTTACCAATTAATTTGAAATATTAAAATGTTTATGTTACAGAAGTACAGTATTAAAGTCCTATTTTAACCCAACTCACTATATATATTGTAATATGGATGTTGACTTCTGAAGTTCATCTAAATTACAATGTACTGAAACCTGTAAATTCTAAAAGAAACTTTCTAATAGGAAGAATATTACATCTAGAACATGAATAGAATGTAATCATTCATACATATATGAAAACATGTAATTTATTTGTAGATTACATGTATACACATAAATATAACAATATA